TAGTAAATACGGGTGATGAATGCAAAACGGAGCGGGTCCTCAGTGGGATTGGTTTACCGCTTTCATGGAGACATGTGGGAGTATTGGTATCCCCAATGCAACGGCTCAATCCTTACTTGTTTACAAACCCTGGTCTTTACCACGCATCACCTCCTGTCTCGTCTTCAGTTTCTTTTTTTATTTTCCCCCTCCGCTGACGCCGTCCGTCTTCTCATCAGGTGGTATCCCTCGCGTCGTTGCCGTTGAATACCTCATACGTTGTCACTCTGTCTTAACTCCATGTTCTGTAACCGGTCTATTTGCGACCCCACTTGGGTTCGGGACTCTGATACTTCCTCAACTTTCCTGGAGATATTGGACGTAGCAAGCCACATTAGTTGGGTCTTGCGCCGAACATTTTAAAGATGCGTTCATAGGCAGTCTAGATCGGTTGTTGACACGAGTGGAGCATTTGCCTCACGTTTATTTCCTTCGGTGTGTCATGCGTTTCTACAGCTATACACCGAGGTGTCTCGCTCTCAGCCTGGTCGGCTCATCCCCTCCTTGAGGGCCGTAGGTTCGGTCGATTACTTCTAACCCTGTCAGCTTTATAGTCGGATATGAATGGCCCTTCTTATCCGCTTCCTCCTTTCTATGCCTCCGTTTCTCTACCCTTTTCTCTCCCTGCCTTGCTAGACTCCCGTGCAAGGCTATTAAATGGTACCATTTCTTTTACTCTTAAAAACGTAAGGAAGAGAGAGACGATTTCCATCAATTTGTGGCTACCGTCCCTCAACGTAAAGTCAAATTCACTATAATTACACCATAACCCCAAAGTATTTTTTTTCCCCCATATTAATTAATACACAGTCATTCTGACCACAGTGTATGTTCTATTGCAGAGCTCCTCAGGACAGAAATAATGCCTAGGCCATAGAATCGTACCAATGTTGGTAATACATGTATACACACACTCTCTTCTACTGGTGTGCAGAGCTCCCCCAGAAGAAAGAAACATGCATAGGGGCGATCAAGCAGAATCTTTGATGGCAGATCTGCAATGCCACTGAAGAGCAATTAAGAAACGCACAGAGAGGTGAGCCTAAAACCAAAACCAGACCACAACACCACGGCCTACATAACTCATATAATCGCAATGATAAAGAGAGTGTTACGTACAAACCACCGTCGACACACTCACCATGAAAACGGCCACACGACTGTCATTTTGATGAGCTTTGCCACAGGTAGCGATCCGAAAACCACGCTATAATCTGCGGAGTAAAGAGACGCGCGGAAGAAGGAACTTCTACCTGATATTGCCAGTCACCTGTCTCACCGTCAATGGGGGAGCAGCACCCCGCTGTGTACCCCTACCTCCCACATAGCGCCAACAGCCCTATAATGTTGACACACAATCACCACACAAGCGTCAGTTCCACTAACTAATCGAAGCTACACATAACCAGGGAAGAACTAAGTGCTTCATTCTCATTGTAATATAATCAAAACATCTACACATCGGGAGAGGATCGATCAATTATTGGGGTTCTTCAAACAAATTTTGTGTTTCTAAAAGCGAGAGTACGAAATGTTTTTTCTTTGACCTCTGAACCACGGCAATGGTCCCCTTCAAAATGTTGTGGAACAAATACAACACTACCAATGATGTATGAGAAATTGGTCCCGATACACCTACAACCCTATCGTATCTCTCTCGAGTTCTTCTTCTTTAGCCACCTACAAACGTAACGTACGCGTCGTCTCCCAAAGCGTGTAACGATTCCCTTAAGTTTCTGAAGATGGTATGTTGTGTCTGACGTGGCAGAGAGCAGAAAGGAGCATGGTAGTAAAATCTTATGTGGCCAACAAAGTTGTAGTGATATGTGGACTAAGTTCTAGTCTGTCGACTTCCCAGACCCGCCACCCTCAGGATACAGGAAAGGGTACAGGTGTTACGATTGATCATGTTATTCAATGAGGAGCAACTCTTCGATTAATAAATAGGCACATCTCTCTTCCCTAAACGCGGCAGCACATCCCTAGTCCCGTCTACAACCAAATTCTAACCCGAACAACTGCTACACAGTCACGTGTGTATTCCTGTCCCATTCGGTGATCGTTCAGAACGTCGGAGACAGTATCATGTAGGGTGCTATGTGACATAATTCGTTTATATTCCTAGCCCAGAGGGAACGGGTGCATTGACCCCGCTATACAGCCTATGCTGAAGCCGCATTCCGACGCAACTCTTGCCTGCACTTACACTACTATAGAGCTTGCCACCGCCCCTGCGCTCTAAGCAGTACTACACCACCCCAGCATGTAGATACCTGTACCAACGACAAAAGCAAATAATTGGAACATATCGATTAACCCTCCGTACCACACACTGAGTTGGTCGACCTGTCACATGAAACGGTGAAGAGTGCTAGGCGGCCGGGCAGTGGACGATCTTTTGCACTCGGCCGTATCAGCACCCGGTGCACAACTCTGAGGATTATCAAATTGTGTCCCAGCTATCGTCGTAACCGTTCTCGGGATTCCAGAGTTGTGAGGTCCTCCATTTTCCACTAATGAATACTCCTACCCACAACGGAGCTAGCGGAGAGAATGAATATCCTGTACGACATCACCCGTCACTACTCATTAGCGCGAGGCCAAAGCACAGGGACGACTCTGACCAACGTCATTGGAATGTCTGACAGTTTCAACCACCTCTACGAAATCTCCCGACCCAAATGATCGCCGACATGGCATCTAGGTTGTCAGTCGTTTCACACGACTGCATCCTAGCAAGCCAAAGGCATTATGCATTACAGTCCTTCCCCTCTCTCTCCTGTGGCCATCGTAGACACAATGCCAGCCCCACACACACACGCGCACCTGCCTGTGCTCATGAATACTATAGTACGCCTCACACTGGAGCACCAATCAGATATTGCACCTACACTACCTACTGCCTGACTATACCATGATACAGTACATACGTTGTAGCCTCACTTTATACTATACGTAATGGCCAAATATTAACAAACGTTAAAAATACTAAGTACGTGTAGTATATACAGCACATGCATGTTAGTTGCAATTGGTGGAAAAACACAAGGCTGCGCAACCAACCTGGTGCTAGATGGTTTAGAGTGCGGTATACACAACTATCAGAGTCTAACTAGCACTGAAGCCAGTTGTTACCACGACCGAACACTTCATGCTATTAAACACTTTCCACGTGCACACACACATGCTCACTCGTAAAGCAGAGCATTTCTATCAACCCTTGAAAGGTCGCAAATCGACCCACACAGCACAGAGCGAGTCTAGTATGTGCCTATACAGAGAGTGAGATAGACTCTACCATGTAACACGCAGCTGCTCCGCACGCCTTGCTCGAGCCGTGCCCGCCGCGCTAGACTCACCACATCCGCGGACCTCGTAGTCCGTAGTAACGGTTCCTCGAGCCAGCCGTGCGTCTCTGGGTCGCCACCTCGATCTCGAGAAGGTTCGCCGGCGACCGCGTAGGCACTACGTCTAAGCTGCTGGCTTCTTGAAATCAGCAGCTTCACATGGCGCTATGGCTGTTCCCCGGGTTAGCTGGAGGCCGCCTGCTCCGCCATTTTTCCACCCAAGCTTTTGGCACTAAAAACACTCGAAGGTCAAAGTACGTTACACGACGGGGGCGGTTCAATGAAAGGGGTGGGGCTCGTCGTAGGCTAAACGCATGCGCTTAGTGATAATCGGTAGAGCGATCGAATGGGGAAGAAGAAAGGAGGCAAGGGGAAGAAGGAGAAGTCAGAAGATGGCCTTCCGCCACCTCCGGACCTCGATAGCCAGAAGGAAGGTGCGCGGGAGGCGCTGCTAACATTCAGGCAAGTCATATCCTCTCGCGTAGGCTTACTACAAACTGCCAGTTGTGCACGCACAATTCACTTATGTTTCTACTGTATAGGATTCAGGGCAAGGAGGACTCAATACTGACGTATGAAGAGGAAGCGGAAAACTTCAAGGACAGAAATTACCGCCAGAAAGAGAAGGTTCTAGTAGCTAGCTATAATACAACATTTGCGGAAAAAACATTCTTTGTTTAATGGGAGGGGCTGGCTCAGCTGTGCATGCTTTTTGTGCACTATTGCTACAGAACTACGACCTGCGGACGGTTCAGACGGGCTACAGGAAGGCGATGCTGCAGCAGGCCCTGGAGTATGAGAGCCAGGAGGCCGAAAAACAAGAGGTGACGGCCGAGGCAGTGGAGGAGGCAATGCTGGAGAGACTGCAACTGGCCAGAGACATGGAGACGGCGCTTGAAGGTTGTCAATACTTTTTCACCGTTTTGCGTTTTGCCTCTGTTCATTGAAGCACAGCTTTTACTTGCGTGATGCAATACATGCAGATCTTGAGGACACAATAGTGGCAGTGGGGCAGAAATTAGAGGTAGAGAGACGAGAATTGGACAAGTGGCTGGAGTACAAAGTATGTTACTTGCAACAGCAAACAGCACTGGTGTGATGGGGTGTCTAACTGTAGGAAGAAACTGTGCACACTGAAGAGACTCGCACACAAGAGATGAAGCAGCAAATGAAAGAGATGAGGGACAAAGAGATTCAAATGGAAAGTGAGTAAAGAACACTGTGTTAACAAAAACATTAATACCACCTATATAATGGTTTCTAACAACATAACACAAGTATAGTATAATATACACTCCTATTAAACTTTTGTCCATTGCTGGTATATAGGATAATGTAGCTACCCAGCTAGATCTATTACGGGCGTCAAAGGAATCAATCAAATTGTGGATAGCTGTAGAGTAATCATTCGACTATCTTTAGATCCATATTGATTTTAGAACAGATCGGCTTCAGGCCACACCACCTGTCATATTATCTCCTGGCAAAGTGGATCTTGTGCTCTGCATCCCACACTTTCTCTCACAGTAAAGAAAATCAGTATGCAGCTCAGGGTGTGCAGTTTTTGTTCTGATGAATGTGCAGGTGAGCAAGAGAGCAGAATGGGAGAGGCCAGACTGGAGATAGAGGCCAAGTGGCAGAAGAGGATGGAGAGAGAGAAGGACAGGGTCTCTGAGAAACTACTTGACTCCATGGACAAAGAGGGTCGGGCAGAAATGGTGGACAACGGCTGGTTGAAAAGAGAGGTACGTACACTCACAGGCTTATTATTTGTGTTGCAAACCACTCCAGTAAAACACTTCCGCAAATTTACTGTTTCCTAATGCCAAAGCCCATATAGTTTGTAAAGGCTTTTACTGACAACTCCCAAAACCTATATAGGAAATTAGTTAAGTTTCTCTCACTAAAGTTTCCTACTAGCTGTCACAAACTGCTAACTAAAATGGAAACTTGTTAATGAGATCGGACTTAACTCAGTCAGTCACTCAAGTGGCAGATTGGACAGGCTTTAGTTCAGTCTTCTATTACGGTAAAAACTAGGTATGTAAATGTATTGACACAACATTATACTGTGGCTTTATATTATGTGTATATAGTTGATCACAGTGTGTCTGTACAGATTGTGGCAGTCGGTGAGATGGTGACAGAGCTGAAGAGAGAGGTGGGGTACTTGGAGCAGAGGAATCTCCAGCTGCTGGAGGAGATGCAGCGAAAACAGCTACAAGAGCTGGAGATATCCATGTACGTAATCCATAAAGACACAAAAATTTTCCATAATCAAGAGTGTTCATTATAACTGAAAAACACAAGATTTAAACTTATCAGGGGCTCAGTTAAGTTGCTTGGCTAAAGCTTTCAGATCACCTCCTATATATGATGCATCATAACCACTGGTGCAGTAGAAGTGAATGTGTCAATAACAGGGTAGCAATTGGCAAAGGCAAAGCAAACAAGTCAACAAGGTACACCCAGGGCAGCTCTACAACGAAAATCTAGCCAAGAACCTATTTTGCAATTCTCTAAGTCTCATAATGGAATTCCTCTGTAACAAAATCTTTCGTTTTCTCTGCCAGTGGTCTTCTGCGGGCCTCAACAGGGCACACTCGTATCTCATCATCCCACGCTATGGGAGATAGTGGAGCGAGTCCCTCCCTCCCATCTCTGGTGGACGTCAGCAAAAACACCACCACTTCCAGTGGAACTGCAGGGAGGCTGGGACAGGTAGAGAGACAGACCCTCCACATCAGAGGGTGTGTGGCCCCATTGGCCCTGCCCCCTGACTCCACCCACCTCCCTCCCCTGGCCCAGCAGAGGAGCTGTCACTCGGCACTCCCACCTCGTGGCACGTGGCCAGTCACTGCTGACATGTTGGACTCTATCACATGACACTCATAGCCTATACAAAGACGTTAAAGTGCTTTTGGCGTTCTCTTTATCCTATCCCCCTATGTCTCTATATTAGCCCGAATACATCTAATCTCAGTGGTTATAGCAGCCGGAATGTACACTGACCATAGCAGATACTGCAGACACTCAACTGCATCTAAAATGTGTTCCTTTTTTCGATGGAATTACGAAAGGTTGATGAATTTGCAATTGGGGTGCATGTCGATATTTCACATGAACCTAAAAAACATTTTGCACAAAGTAACTATAAATAATTATGCACACACAAGTTAAATCACGTGAGTTCATTTGGTAGTAACTGTCAGTCGTGGTACGTAGCATTGTAGTGACTACTTTACATACAGCTCAACCAGTTCCACTGCTACGTTGTCTGATTCTATGGGATCATATAAACACATTCTCAGCTCGAGGTCATCGGTAGTTGCCTGGCTGAGGGTTTTGGTGAAATATGGAGGATTGTGGAAAGAACAACATGAACTGGTGGAGTGACAGTCTCTCCCATCCCATAGAGTGTCACTGGAATGGAGTCTGTTCTCTAAAGTTGTATTCCAGGAGCCAGGCCATTGATATCCAGACTCACAGAAGTAATCATCTCCAACAAATCGTGGCACTTGTATACTATGACTAGCATCACATGGACACTGGGAAGTATGATATGATCGGTAATTCTCAAATGGTCCACAAGCAAATGTCCAGATGTGTTGTCGAGGTCTGCCGTGCATTACAGCAACTCCGCTGAAGTAAGCATCGTTAATAGTAGTCTGGTCACCGTAACTATATCCAAGAAAAGCATCGGGCAGTCCCCACTGGTAGGCTCTGATCCTACCACACACCTGACTATATGGTCCTCCACTGACGGGAAAAGAAACTGGGTCACAAGTCAAAAAAGCATTGCTAGCTCTGCCACAGGTTCTCTTGGAGTATTCAGTCATGTTCCATCCAGAGGGACAGTTGGTGTTGGGGTCTGTCATATCCAGGTAGACTGCACGTCTCCAACCTGCTGTACCTCCACATGTGTGAAAACCTATTGCTTTAATGCTTTCCTTCATCCCCTCAAGAGTTAGTCCCAAAGTTTCATGTACAGCTGCTGCAATCCGCACAACTGCAAATAATGGCATATCATTGCTGCAAAAAAAGACTTACAAAACCTTACCGTCACACTGGGAATGTCCCAGTTGTACATTAGGTAGTGCTACTAGAAAGAGGACCAGTAGAATATAGCTGCCCATCTTGACAAAACGAGCACTGACTCTCACTCTTTGGAGCAGATAGCTTTATAGGTTGTGCAGTTTACAAAATGTGCATCCTGTGTTATCACGTGCTATTGTTGAGTTACGAACAGCTGTACCTTTCCTGCTAGCATGTGTCTACGCATAGTGCATGTTTCCTTGATTGAATCTTTTCTCTCTCACCCCTGACATACTTGAGTTCATACTGTATCTGTAGTCCACTCACAGCGGCACTTTGCTCTCCGTTACAACAAACATGCACCATGTGTTCTCACGGTAGTGTGAGACCTGTTAAGTTGAGTCTAAAAGTCTTGCCAGATGGCAACCATGCTATAGATGAGGATAACACTTTGACCAGCATATGTCTAACAACTCCAACAGTTTGCCTTTCCAGAATAGAATATCTCCCCAACAGCGGACACCGCAACAAATCACCAGACGCTTCACATTACTGCTGAGTGTGTGGGCAGTGTACAATGGCATGTATATTCCTCCTTTCCTAAATGCTACTTCTGCTGTTATGTAACAAAGTGCTTTGCAAAAATCATTATATCACCTCGCTCAATGCAATCTACAATGCACAACACACAATTCAGTTTAATCGGGCAAGTTCACAGTGATACAACATCATTCAATCCACGATGAGAGTGTGATGAGTGAGAGGAGGAGAAGAGGCCAAAGGAAATGACATTGGAAACCAGCTGAACGTGATGACGGCTCTTCCGAGTCCCCTGGAGCTCCATCTCCATCTTTGCCCCCTCCACCTGTACATAATAATATGTTGCCACATCTACTACATCGCATCTCATTTCTCAGCGGACACTCACAGTTCTTGGCCTTCTCCAGAGGAATGACTGTGTACTTGATAACATTGATTGTCTTAGAATTCAGTTGTCCGATCACCTATGAGAGAATCAGGCCTTTTAACAGCCTGCACACCACTCCACAAGAAACACACCCTCTCAATTGCTTGTAATGCTGAATCAGGCACAGAAGCCAGTGCAGAGTGGCTATAATATGCACATGACCCCTTACTAATTATAGCACTAACGTCCATGCACATTTGAAGTATATACACATGGCAGCTGGCCAGGTTCTCTAATCATATAGAGAGAGTATTAGCATCCGTATCAATGGGAATGTGATCTTAAACTCTCTAAGACCCTTCATCCGGTTTGCCAAGGTTGGAACATACCTCAAACAGACTCAGTGTTTTGACACAAAGGGAGGATTCTTAAGGTAGGGACTTTTGGCATCATCCATGCATAGTAGTCTTATAAGTCCTTTTACAAAGGAATTAGCTGCAGTGCACGTCTACTGCACTACTCCTATATAATTATCATACGTAGTGCCCAAGTGTCACAGTGGCTATATATATATATATATAGCATGTTCCACACAACCTGTACATTACCCTTTTAAAAGGGTATATATATAAGCTGTGCCATCCAAAACATGTTTGTGCACAAACCGGGGAATTGCTCTCCATAAGTAACTTCCTACAAGGCTTCAACAACACTGATCACAAAGGAATGTGAAAGCATGCACTAGGGCCTGGGAAGGTTTTCCTACTGACAGTTTCAACATCTACGCGCATCAAAGAGCCAACCTGCAGCCCAATAGCATCCTCAAACTGGTCGAGAGTTATGTTCAGAACAAGTCCAAGCAACTGAGGAACTACAGTCACCCTGGAGCTATCGATAGTCTCGTCCAGTACCACCGTCTCCTCCTTGTTGATGACTATTCTTATGGCAGGTGGGGTACGGCAGGGCAGGAGTACAAACTCTGCAGTGTGACCAAGTGCAGAGCAGTCGACTGTGTCACAAGGTTCGGTTGTGTCTGCAGTACACGTGAAGACCTCAGCATTGGCAGCTATTTCCTCCAACACGGAACATGTAGTGTTCTTGCCATCAGCTGTGGGGAAATATCACATACACACTACACACACACACACAACCCCATCACATAAACCATAGAGTTGTATACGTTCACTAAAACATATGGCACGGCAACACGCACTCCTACTCACACACAACACCGACCCTACTGGAGAACCCTACTAGAGTATCTTACAGCCGGTGGTGGGTGGCTCAGTAGTAGTTTCCCCGGGAGTAGCAGTAGGTATGGGAGTAGGGACAGCGGTAGAGGTTGGTGACCGAGTGACAGAGGCCACAGTTGCTACATATGAGTGAGAAGCAGAAAAGTCAGTGTATATTATGAGCCTCTGATAGCAGAGTGTATACTTCGAACATTATGCACATTTCAAGCAGGAGCGTTACAAGACAGCCACTCACAAGCTATCACTGACCCCACCACTACATGCATTGAGGGGGCTATATGATACACGTTGCCGCTCAACAGGTAAACAGACAAGCCTGAATGAATTTATGTTTCTCAATCCCATTCATATACTGTGTGCAAGTTGAGCCATATTAACATGCACGTGTACGTAGATGTATGTAGCTACAACAGTGACCTGTGGTGGGAGAGGTACAGGACTCAGTGTCCAGCGGTATCACAGTATAGGGAATGATGGTACCAAGAGGAGCCAGACTAACCTGAAAGTAAATAATGTAAAACAGATGTGAAGAATTTCACCAATCAGTAACAAACGTCATGCTCCTTGACATGGCATAAGTTATACAAAATAGGAGGAAAGAATTGAAATTAGGAAAACATTATTGCAGGAGATAACAGAATACAGATAACAGAGATGACAGGGTCAGCTTACTTCTAGTCCAATTTCACCATCAAGCTGGTCAAGAGTAACACTGAGTGTTGTTCCAAGCACTCCAGTATCAATCTCACTGACAGATTCAGTCACTACTTGATCGATGACAACGGTATTGGGGGCTCGAATTAAAGTGAAACGGACACCTGCAGTGTCAGGCAGACATACTAAGTAATGTGGGATGGTCACGTAAACACACACACATAACATAAACAGACACATCACGATATCCATGTAGCCAGACTTACTGAGAATAAAACATAACATGTCAGTTGACACAACATGTTTTTGCCTGACATGTTGGACTCTCCAGGCAATGTTTTCACACACAAGGCAAATTCGCAAATGTACGTAGTATAATATATGGTACACATACCCCACTTTTTTGTGGGTGCACGTCTATCACCATGTCCAAGTTTCTAATGCACAACGTGCCAAGGTGCATGTATTATAACCTGGAAGGTCCATACAGGGCAGAAGCTCTAGGCAAAAGTGTGAATCCATGAGAGAGCGCCTGAAGAAGTACAGGTAGTTTTGTTGCAGACAGAGTTAGTGGTGCAGGTGAGGGTTGTACTGTTATCATCTATGCTGTCAAGTGCATCACATGTACCCTGATTCAGAGCTGCAACTGTATACAGAAATATATAGTTATGTGAAACATAATAATCACTAGCTTCAGGAGAGCTATATAGCCATATCACCTTGGTCTCTGAACATTATTGCATTTCGCATACGAGGTGGCTGAGCTCTCGCCACGTACCCAGGTACGTACGTAGCCATGGTCTTACCTGTACTACAGCAGGCGAAGATCAACGTCAAAACGAATGGATACAAAACTCGTAGTTGTGGTAGAGCCATCTAGAACAAGCTACTCTTCTTGTTCAGCAGTGAAAGGTGGTTTCTGTTATAGTGAAGCGCTGACTTGTGCGTCGGTCTACGCTGCGCAGGCGCATAACAGCCAGCCACGTGTTCGCATAAACTTGTGTCTTGCTCCCTTCATTTATCATAATTATCCTATAAACATAGCTAATCTGCAGAAGAATTTTTGCAGTGATGACATTGATTCATTTGAGTGTGATGAGTGAGAGGAGGAGAAGAGGCCAAAATAAATGACACTGGAAACCAGCTGAACGTGATGACGGCTCTTCCGAGTCCCCTGGAGCTTTTGTACCTTCACTTCCTTCTCCATCTTTGCCCCCTTCACCTGTACCTTTGCCTGCAAGAGAGTACACAATAATCAAGTCTCGAGCATGGCACAATTTGTCATCATGCAATGCGTCTTCAGTAAGTTGAAGATTCACTCACAGTTCTTGGCCTTCTCCAGAGGAATGACTGTGTACTTGATAACATTCAGAGTGTTGCCACTCAATGTTCCTTCAACCTAAGGGAAAGTAGTTCTGAACCTCAGAATAGTTTATGACAAGATTTCACCAAGTCGTAGAGATTGCATGCTCACTTGCTAGCTACCCATGAATCATTGCTGAGCTCCTTAGTGCAAGACATTTACATTGGCCAACTGGCTGGGAGCTCAGCTAAAGCATGTACATTCATGGCCAGCATTGCACTCACACACATAATGTGGACATTGGACTGGAGTGTGACATGCACCTTAGACATTCACAGCATGGCATCCCTGTATATCTACAATTCTACGTGCAGTACAACATTAGGAAGATTCACCCACCTTGTTTTGAAAGTCTATGAGCCCTCACTATCAGTAAGCCAGGGATACACTTTAAAGGCCTCAATGTTTTGACTACTGCAGACATTGCATGTACTATGCAACTCCAGTCACTATCATCGCCTGTGTATTACTACAAGGGTTCTGTTTGTGTGATACTTGGCCTGTGCTACACTCTCGTGCCACACCTTAAGTGATTCCAAACTGAGTCCCTAATATCAGGGGCTTCCTCTCTTTGTCAATCATAAAGGGAGAACCAGAGGTTCCAGGGAGAGCTTTGCTCACATCCTGTGCTGTATTGACTGACAGTGTCCCAGCACCGACACTTTCCCACAAAACCAAGAACCCACGAAGTGAATAGCTACAGTTTCCACTTCCCGTTGGGCTACACACTTTTAGCGTAGTATTACAGCCCCATAAACCATAGCATGGCAAGTGCATGTCAAAAACACCAAGGGGAAAACATTTAGAGAGCTTTCCTTTTTGGGATGACACAGTGCCTTTGGACGAGCACTCTTCCTACTACTTGGCACAAAGGACAACACCACTTAAACCAGCCCAATACTATGTCATATGTATGTACACACACCTGCAGCCCAATAGCATCCTCAAACTGGTCGAGAGTTATGTTCAGAACAAGTCCAAGCAACTGAGGAACTACAATCACCCTGGAGCGATCGATAGTCTCATCCAATACCGGTGTCTCCTCCTGGTTGATGACTATTCTTATGGCGGGTGGGGTACGGCAGGGCAGGAGTACAAACTCTGCAGTGTATAAATCAAACGCAGAGCAGTCGACTGTGTCGCAAGGTTCGGTTGTGTCTGCAGTACACGTGAAGACCTCAGCATTGGCAGCTATTTCCTCCAACACGGAACATGTAGTGTTCTTGCCATCAGCTGTGGGGAAATATCACATACACAAACAGTTGGAAACCCAGAGTGTTTAGGATAGTGCCACTAACCAGTGGTAGGTTGCTCAGTAGTAATTTCTCCAGTGGTAGATGTTCCATCAGTGGAAGTGGGGGTATCAGAAGAAGGTTCTGCAATGGTACTGACAGCTGTAGGAGCACTGGTAGGGGTAGTGATGGGGCTCTGAATGGTGACTAATGCTAGACAGGGCTACTGGGTGGTAGGCAAAGCCCCACACCAGGGTAGAGTGCATAGCTGGAAGCCAGTGGTACTGGTGGTAGGTACCAACACCAGTGGTAGGATGGCAGGCAGATGGAGTACAACTTGCCACAAATCGCTATGTACAATTAATAGGAGTAACCTCATTTTAACGTCCAATTCCAGATGTGCCCTTATAAATTTGCTAATCGCAGCAATGACTACCATTTTCTTTTCACCAAGCCATTTTCGTAGGGCATTATGAAATATAGTCATGTACACCAAATTTCTTTGAAAGTTGTTTGTGCCCATTACTACATAGTGTAGCTACAAATCACACTTTAACGAAAATAGTCCACTTCAGGGAGAGCATGAATCTTTATCAGAGGTAGAATAGTGTATGTAAATTGGAATACTATTGTAGTGAACCCAATACAGCCCTCATGTTGCCTGGACCATGACACAACGGTTACTTTCATTCACCTAAAACATACTTTTTAATTCCACAAACCTTACCTAAACCAATACTTTTATTTTTTTCACAAAGCTTACTTAAAACAATACTTTTATTTCACAAACCCTACCTAAAACACATAACCTTTCACATACGTATCGTAGGCAAAGTGGTGCCTATGGGCACATAAGCTTGTAACGTATGAACAGAATAATAATTAGCGACCAATGACCCCCTATATGGCTCAATCAAATTGGGAAAGGATTTCTATAGAGTGGGTGCCACCAATACATAATACTCATGAAACATACTGAATTTTTGGCACTCGGTTAACCCCCAAAAAAATTGTGTGCATTTGTTCTACGTATTAATGTACATACAGCAAGGCCAATGGAAGTTTTGTCCCTCTGGTCCCACAGTCATGTCCAGACAGTGTTGGGAGTTAGCTCATCACCACTACCTGAGCTGGTCCCAGCACTCTGTCTACTCAGCAGACTGGCCCCCCCGGGTGTTTCCATGCGACCATCGAACCCCGATCCCGAGTACACTATGCAGACGAACGTCACGAGAGGGTGTGGCCCTAGTGAAGGGTTGCCAAACCCCCCTCCTTGGGTTCCCGTTGGCCGTCGTCCGCCCTCCCGGTTGCTCTATGCCCGTCCTCTCCCTTCCTCTTCCGCTGCTCTTCTCCACCCCCTTGCCCCGTCTCCATTCCGGCCCTCCGGCCCTGTCCCCCCCCTCAACCACGTCTGCTCTTTCACTCTCCCTAGCCCTTCATTATGTATTGGCCCGCCGATGCTCAAACCTTCTCCGCCCTGCTTAATTTTTTTCTCCCCCCAGCAGCCCCTGAAAAATGTATGTGGCGCATGAGAACTAGGCATATGAAGTAGGACGTGACAAAAACTTTTGGGCGAAACAAGTACATACACAAAAAAAATTCTTCACCATTTCCAGTTGTTTCAACTTATCAAATTCACCAGCCACATAATTTCAAAAAAGCGAAAAGCATTCACAGATGTTTCTCTAATCATGACAGTTTTTCTTCTCAAAAGGATTTCCTCCAATTATATATATACCTGTGTGGGTTTTGGTCCCACTCACAGATACCTGGAGTGTGGTGTCTGAACGTGAGTAGTGGCGTGAGCGGTGTATATTGGAGTAGCAGCAAGTACGGCTACAGTTGGTCTAGTAAGTAGTAGGAGTCTGCAATACTTTGATGTCTCTGTGTTGGGAAGGTATTATTTATATAACTGGTACTATTGAATAGGTGGATCTCGGTCAGTAGTAGAGTGCAGCTCACCAAATGGCAAACTCTCAAGAACAATGTTGGTTATACAGTGGCATGACTTAGGACCGTATCCAAGCTTTTTATATTACACACACCCAACTTCCAGGCCCATTGTTTCTCTATGCATACCCAAAGACCCACAGAATTAGAGCATGGATGAGTAGTAAGTCCTAAACCCCATTGGGCACAATAGAGCATGCCATCATATCTGGGAAACAATACCAGTGGGACCCCTTATACTTGATTGGAGAGAACCATTTTACAGGGTCAGGTTGCTTCCAAAGAAACGGTTTACCTCCTAATATGTGTCCCTCGCGCACAAGGGGTGGGTCCTTAGAGAAAGAGAGTCTACTGTCTGAACCACGCTGGATAACATTTATCGACATTAATACCGCACACTATCATAACATCGGGTGCGATATACTCATTCAAAA